GGGCCGCCCGGTGGGGCCCGGGAGAAGGCGGCGGCGGGGCTGTGCTGGAGGAGGTGAGTACCGGCGGGCGGGGATGCGGGCCGAGGCGGGCCGTGCCCCCGCGGCCGACCCCTGTGGCGCCGTGCCTTGCAGCCTGGTGCAGCGGAGCCCCGGGGAGGAGGAGGCCAACGTGTGGCGGGGCCGGGAGGGCGGGCGGCTGTGGGCCCGGCGGCACATCGCGGCGGGTGAGGAGCTGCTCTACTGGCCGGAGGAGGAGGAGGAAGAACGGCGGCCCCGCGCAGGTGGGTGAAACGAGGCCTCCCCCGGGCCTGGGGGTGCTTTGGTTCCCGGGAGGGTGATGGCCGTCCCCCCCACTCGGTGTCTGTGCTGCTTCGTGTCCCCCCCGTAGCCCTCCCGGGGCTGCTGCCCCGACCTGGCGTGGCTTTAAGAGCGACCAGGTGAGAGAGGAGGGTGCCAGCCGCTTCTGTGCCGGGCATAGAGTCATAGAACGGTTATGGAGTTGGAAGGGACCTCAAAGATCATCCAGTTCCAGCCCCCCTGCTCTGGGCAGGGACACCTCCCACCAGAGCAGGTTGCTCCAAGCCCCATCCAGGCTGGCCTTGAACCCCTCCAGGGATGGGGCAGCCACAGCTTCTCTGAGCAACCTGTTCCAGTGTCTCACCACCCTCACAGGAAAGAATTTCTTCCTGATATCTCATCTAAATCTCCCCTCTTTCAGCTTAAAACCATCACACCTCATCCTGTCACTCCCCTCCCTGATCAAGAGTCCCTCCCCATCTCTCCTGTAGCCCCTTCAGATACTCAAAGGCCACTATAAGGTCTCCCCAGAGCCTTCTTTTCTCCAGGCTGAATAACCCCAACTTTCTCAACCTGTCTTCATAGCAGAGGTGCTCCATCCCTCTGATCATCTCTGTGGCCCTCCGCTGGACCCAACAGGTGGGGGAACCTGTTCCTACAAGTCCATGTCCTTTCTGTGTTGAGGACTCCAGAGCTGGACACCGCACTCCAGGTGGGGTCTCACAAGCACAGAGTAGAGGAGTAGAATCACCTCCTGCGACCTGCTGGCCACGCTTCACTTAGAAATGCCACCCATGACCCACTAGAAATACGGCTCTGATACTGTCAGTGGTGAGAGAACTGAGGCCTCCCCCACCTCTCCCAGGTTAAATGAAAAAAGAAAAAGGTCATAGAAGTAACGTTTTTCATGCCAGAGCCCCAGAATTACTGGATGGCAGATTATCTGTCTCCGAGGTTCACGATTCTCTGATGCTGCAGCAATCGTGTCATATAGCAGTAGCCACCACTGACTTCATTGAGGATGCTTTTGTCTTTGTGCAGGGGATCCCTGTGTCTCCAAGGTGGTAGCTGATGAAACCACAGTCCTTGATGTCCCTGCTGAGGATAGGAGGCCGGTCACCAAGTGTTTCCACGGGCTGCAAGAAGAGGAAAGCACAACTTCCAAACATGAGCCGTGGCAAGCCAAGGTGCTAAGGACTGAGAATCAGCACCTTGAGGCCATCTCAAGCATTAAGGTCAACGGAAGGTGCAAGCAAGAATTGGATGAGGGTGTGGATCCCAGATCTGCAGCAGAAAAAGTTGAGATGGGGCATAAAGAGGCATGTCCAGAAGACCTGGATCTGTTGTCGCCCTCAAATGGGGTTCAACTCAGTGCTTGCTGGGTTGTCAAGCCGTGCAAGGTGCATGCTCCGGCCAGCCAGTGCCACAAGTGCCTGCAGAACTGTGGTGGCAGGACAACTGGGCAGGAACCCCAGCAGCCCAGTCCTTCTGAAGGAGAGAGTGTAGAGACTTGTGAGAAAGAGAGCGAAGCTTCCAAAGACTCCAAACCGGCATCCCCAGAGCATGGGGAAAAGGGCCCACTGGAGGGACCTGAAGAGCAGGAGAAGGATACAGAACTGGTGGAGGGTCGTTCCGGCAGGCCAAAAGCTGTGTCCCAGAAGGAGATGACCAAGCGCAGGTACCGCTGTGGGGAGTGTGGCAAAGCCTTCCTGCAGCTGTGCCACCTCAAGAAGCACCGCTTTGTCCACGCTGGCCACAAGCCCTTCCTGTGCACGGAGTGCGGCAAGACCTATAGCTCGGAGGAGAGCTTCAAGGCCCACCTGTTGGCCCACCGGGGCGTGCGGCCTTTCCAGTGCACCCAGTGCGACAAGGCTTACTGCACCAAGCGGGACCTGCAGGACCACCAGGTCCTACACACCGGCCAGCGCCCCTTCTCCTGCGAGCAGTGCGGCAAGGCCTTCGCGCGCCGTCCCTCCCTCCGCGTTCACAAGAAGATCCACCTGGCCACCACCACCACTGGCCCAGCTGGTCCCAAGGGTTGCCCGTGTGCCGTATGCGGGCGCCAACTGGCCACCCCTGGCTCCTTGCGCAACCACATGCGCCTGCACACGGGGGAGCGCCCCTACGCCTGCCCTCACTGCCCCAAGGACTTCCGACAGCGGAGCGGCCTGCGCGACCACCTGCGGCTCCACACGGGGGAGAAGCCCCACCGGTGCCGCTTCTGCGGCGATGCCTTCCCCAAGCTGCCGGAGCTGCGGCGACACCTCATCTCCCACACGGGGGAAGCCCACCTCTGCACCCTCTGCGGCAAGGAGCTGCGGGACCCCCACACCCTGCGCGCCCACGAGCGCTTGCACACCGGCGAGCGCCCCTTCCGCTGCGAGCGCTGCGGCAGGTCCTACACCCTGGCCACCAAGCTGCGGCGCCACCAGAAGTCCCACCAGGCCGACAAGCCCTACAAGTGTCAGCTCTGTGGCATGGGCTACGCCTTCCCCCAGAGCCTGGCGCGCCACCTCCTCACCCACAAGGTGGAGAAGGACCCCGAGGAGCTCAGCGCTGCAGTGGCCTCGCTTGCTGTGGACCTAGCCCAGGCGGCAAGGAAAAGGCCTGAGAGGAAGGGCCATCAGGAGGAGGTTGTGGTAGAGCCCACCTTGCTCGTGGTGGAGGTGCCAGGGCCAGCAGATGAGGCTGAGCTGCTGATCACAGCCAGTGCTCCCTGTGTTGCCACTTACCAGCCTGGAGGCAGCCCCCTACATCCTGGGGCAGACGGGGGACCTGCTGGGCACTTGCCACTGGCAAAGGACATGGTTGAAATGGCCGTCTGCGAGCAGGAGGACAAGTGCATTTTAGTGGAGGAGAGCTCACCAAGCGATGTGGTCATCATCCAGGAGGGGGTGGGCTTCGGAGCAGTGGCAGAAGTGGTGGAGGTGGAGACTGGGACGTGACTGTCCCAGCCTGCCCCTGCTTGATCTTCTGTATGTATTAAAACGGGTTAAAAAAGCAACAAAATACCTAGCTCTCGTGTCTCTCTGCCTTGTTGGGTCCTGTGGCACAGCCCCAGGCAGAATTAGCAGTCTTGGAGGTAGCTGCCTGGGTAGGCCTGGGGCTTTTTGGGAGCTGTCCCTTGGAGGTATAAACCTGCACGTGCCACATGCCGGGCCTGGTGGCAGGGAAGGCATTGGCTGTTGATGGGAATAACTTCTTGGAGAGGACACCCACGGTGTTATTTATGAGCAGTGCTTCTGTTCCACTGTGGGTGGGTGACAGTGCACCGTGGGGAAGGCAGGAAAAGTCTCAAAGCAGCCACTTTGAACACCTTCCTTTCAAGTTTTTCTTCCTCTAATTAACTGTTGCTATTCAAGCACTTTCCTGGGCTTTTACTCTTGGAGCTCACCAGCACTTCTGATCATTTGAAAGTGATGCTGATGCTAGGCTTTGCTGGGAAGCACCAGGTGACTCTGTGGTGGGTTATTTGAAGAGCATTTGCCACAATTAGCAGAAGCAAAGTCCTGCCTTGGAGCTAGGGCTGAGCATTCCTTCTCCACTGTCACCTCTTTCTGCTCGCTGTCAGCTTCCTGGCCATAGAGTGAGTGGATGGTCTGTCTGAGGACGTGGAAGGACAGCTTCGTGTCTCACTGTGCCAAGTGCCTTGTACAGTGCAGTTTTCACTGTCCCCACCTGAGAGGCTCCTCACCTCTCCAGGTAAGGGACCAACAGTTCATCTGGGTAGGCTTGGAACATTCTGCCTTTCTCTTCACGTTCAAGTTGGGTTCATTAATCTTGCTCTTTCTCCTCCGCTTCTTTCCTGTTCCTAGCAGCAGGAAGCTAGAAGGCAGCACCACCACAGCTACACCCCAGCAGTTCCACTGCTCCAGCTTCAGTCCTTGGTGGCTGACTTGAGGTGTGCTGAAGGAAACTGGTCCCATTTCAGGAAAGAAGTGCACAGTTCCCCATGCCACCTGTACTGTGTCCAGGCCCTTATCACAGAATCTTAGTGGTTGGAAGGGACCTCTGAGATCGAGTCCAACCACATTAAAAAAAAAACCAACCAACCAAACAAAAAAAACCCCAACAAACCCCAAACCACCACCCACCAACTAAATCCCACACACAACACCTCACCACAAACCAATAATCTTGGGCACTAGAGCATGCCCTGAAGAGCCATGTCTACATGTTTCTTAAATACCTCCACCACCTCCCTGGGCAGGCTGTCCCAGTGCCTGACCACCCTCTCAGGAAAGTCATTCTTCCTAATATCTAATCTAAACCTCCCCTGCCACAGCTTCAGACCATTCCCTCTGGTCCTGTCATTATTCCTTTGGGAGAAGAGGCCAACCCCCACCTCTCTACCACCTCCTTTCAGGGAGTTGTAGAGGGCAATGAGGTCTCCCCTCAGCCTCCTCTTCTCCAAGCTAAAGTTCCCTCAGCTTCTCCTCATAGGACTTGTTCTCCAGACCCCTCACCAGCTTGGTGGCTCTCCTCTGGACACACTCCAGCACTTCAATGTCTTTCCTTGTAGGAAATGTCTTTCCTTATAGGAAGAGACCAAAACCAGCCCACACAGCAGTTTGTCAGACTTGCCCACCTTGCACTCCCTTTTCACGTGTCACACAAACATTGCTTCCATTTGCCGCATCCACAGTTTTAGCTCTTCTTGGTCTTGACCTTGCCGCTCTCAAACATTGGCGTTTCCCCCAAAAAAAAGTTTTGTTTAAGGGCCTGAATTCCTTGGGCACCGTGCCCGGTGCACAAGAGGGGGGTGTAGTGTCACCGGGGAGTCATCATCAGCACAGTTCCCTTTTGAGGCACTATGAATTCACCAAAAAGCTGCTCTTTGTACTTCCTGCGCTCAACTTTCTTCCATGAACTTCTACAACTAGTTTGTAGACAAAGTGCTAAGAGTCCGACCGATGACATTTTGATGTGACGTGAGGTTGGAAGGTGAATCAGGATAAATAAACCTTTGGGTATCCTTACTTTTTAAGGTATTTTCTTCGAAGTCGGGAGGCGGATGAGCTCGGTCCTTGCCCTGGGTGCTTGGAGAGGGACCAGGGGGAGCAGAGGTGTGGGAGGAGGAGGGACGTGAAGCCACACAGTGCTTCCTGCTGCGCTCCTGCCCGTCGGTGCCCATCCTAACTCTTGCAGTTTTCAAATATTGACACAGCTGCAAAGTGTTCTCGCTGGGCGCGTGTGCTGTTGTTCGAAGCCTGTGCCCTCTGTCACAGCAGAAACGGGAAAGAAGGGGGAGCAACCTGGGGGGGGAGGGAGAGAAAGGGAGAATCCGGGCCCCTATTGCTTAATCTGCTGACCTGTAACTACCTTCTTTATTCTGAGAAAGCAGGGCAGAAAAGGTGGGAGCAACTATGAATTCGGAGGTCCTCATGGAAGAATTATTCACTGAACAGTTGATCTCAGTGGGCAGAGGCACATCTGTGCTGTGCTGCACATATCACATGGCTGCAGGATAAATTTTGCGGGCTAACCCTGACTGAGGAGCCCATAGGTGGCTCCCACTGGGGACCTGGTGATGATGCCACCACCCTGTCTTTATCTCAGAAGTATTTTTATGTGAACAACCCTTTGCTTGACAGCGAAACGATGAAGAAAGTTGTTTACCCCTAAGAAAATCCTATGAGAGCCCTGAACACCGTGATGCTGGTGAACATCAACACGGGTGGGGGCAGTGCCATGGTCTGATTAGACATCTGGACTCTACCATGCTGGCAGGGCTTCAGGATGCTGCTGTAACGCTCTGGCCCAGGTCTGTTGGATGGTTGGGGTCCTTCATGCTGGTGGAACCTCACCAGGTATCAGGCATGCACATAAACTTAAGTGTTACACTTAAACCTCACACTGCAGCCAGGCTTCAACCCTTGGCCAAGTTCTAAACTGGCTTAAACATGACCAAGGGAGGGGAGACATCAAAACTCCCACCTGCGTTGAAAGCCATAACTCTGGGAGGGTAAATGTATGAATCCTAACTCTCTTAGCCTAAGAAAGAAAATAGCATCCATTACTCATGGGTGCGTGAAGGCAGAAAGAAAACGAAATTACAAAAACTCATTTACAGGAACAGTGAACAGATGGAAGAGTTAAATGTTCGAGAGGTGGAAGTGAAAGCCCTGGAGAGGGGACAGCAGATACACGCTGTCCTGCGGCAGAGGCTGACCACAAGAATGGGAGAAACAGAGAAGCACATTACAAAACAAGAAAAGGCTATAATGTGAAGAGCCAGCACCTTTAATTACTAACGTTGTCGTAAGCTACCAGAAAGGGCTGGAAAATGTCCCAGGATGTAGTGAAAGTCTCCAATTACAAAGCAAAAACAATGTAAAGAAGTAGTTGAAACTTAAGTGATGGACTTAAGTCCATCCTTGAGTAATCTTGAGATAAACAGCAGTTACAGTTAACAACCTAATGGCTTTGGTAGGTGGGTTTGTCCTATTTCATGGAGGGAAAGAAGTCCAGCAACTGGAAAAGCAGCAGCCAGACGTAGTGACAGAATAGTGGGTTTCAGTAAAGTTTTTTTTAAGCACATGGTTAAGTAACAGAATGAAGCAGGATCCAGAGCAGAAGTAACGTTAAGAGAAGATGCCATAGGTAAGTATTAGAAGATATTTATACCTTATAACCAAGCTTAACTGCTGTATTCTAGCATTGCTTTAAGTTAACCCTATATAAGGCACAATGCCATGAGAGATGCTAACACCTTTCCTTTAAAGCAAAGATAAGAAGGTGGTAAAAGCATAAGAAAGTTGACTTAAGCTGCAGCGTAAAGGCTGCCTGGTTATTATAAAGAAGAGACAGAGAGGGATGCAGGAATGGAAAAAAAAATAAAATTACTGAGAATATTGGAAGCTTTTATAAAGTGCAATACTCTGGTGAGCCACGTAAGTTGACACGAGAAGGTGCAGAGCAGTGCTGCACACACCACTTGGCCAGATAAACTCACCTGGCTAAACCTAACTGGGGATCCTCCAGGTTGCTTCCGCTTGGCACCGGGTGCTGATGCCACCACCGTGTCCTTGTCTTTATCTTAAGAGTGAAGCAGCATATTCTTACGTGGACATCCTTCTGATTGACAGCAGAAATTACAGTTATTTACTTCTGAGAAAATCCTATAAAAAACTTGAAGACCACGACGCTGATGAACCTCAGCAGAGACACTATTGGTGCAGGATGGCATAGGGTGATGCTGTGCTACTCGGTGTTCCCAGCACTTGAAAGGACATAAGATTATCTAATGCTATTCCCTTTTGCCTTCTCGTGGTATAAAATGGTATTTTAATCAATGCTTTACAGAGCCTGGGTGCCTTTGTTATTGGGATCCATATTGAATACTTGCACAGAGGCCATGAAGATGATCAGAGGGCTGGAGCACCTCTCGTATGAAGACAGGCTGAGAAGGTTGGTGTTGTTCAGCCTGGAGAAGAGAAGGCTCCGAGGAGACCTTAGAGCCCCTTCCAGTACCTAAAGGGGCTACAGGAGAGATGGGGAGGGACTCCATAGGAGTGGAGCCATAGGATGAGGGGTAACAGTTTTAAACTGAAAGAGGGGAGATTTAGATGAGATACCAGGAAGAAATTCTTTCCAATGAGGGTGGTGAGACCCTGGCCCAGGTTGCCCAGAGAAGCTGTGGATGTCCCATCCCTGGAGGGGTTCAAGGCCAGGCTGGATGGGGCTTGGAGCAACCTGCTCTGGTGGGAGGGGTCCCTGCCCATGGCAGGGGGGGTTAGAACTCAATTACCTTTAAGGGCCCTTCCACTTCTAACCATTCTATTATTACCCCTCCACAAAACACAGCAGCATCTGCCTCTCATCACGACAACCAGGAAGGGGGTGGTGGCATGTCTTCCTTTGGTGATATTTCTTCCCTGCGTTCACATCCATATGGATTTGCTCAGTTACACCTGGTGAAAGCTGCCCTGAGGTCACTTGTCCCACCTGCAGTGTGAGACCAAAACCAATTTCTCATATAGAGAGCAAAGAAGCTGTCCTCG